TTTACTACGTTCTGCAAAGGAAGAGTGAAATTGAAATGAAGGACCACCAAGCCAAGACCGCAGAATAGAAAGCAGAATATGGTGAGTCGCCAGGCTTGCTATTTTCATTCGAAATTACAGTTAGACTTTTACTCAGTAATTCCTTTGTGCTAAACACTTTAACTACAAGAAAATATTTAAAACGCCCACCGTTATTTACGTTACAGACTGTGCGCTTGAAAGTTATTTGGCCTCTGAGCTAGCTTTAACCAACCGTAAGGCGGGTAGGAAGGTAATCATTTCAGTTGTAGACCCCACACTACATCTAGCTTATATAATTCACGGTGGTGTGTTAAAAGAGTAACATGGGGTTTCAGCTTTTGCTAACTAGTAATGTTTATGAATAAGGCATAGTTAAGAGCAAACATGCTCAGGCTAAGACACGGGCTGCTTAAGTTCCCTTATCATACCACCAGAATACGCGTTGTTCGTGTTTTTTTGTCCCTTCACCACTAAAATAGAATTATAGTCAGTGGTGCGGCATTGAGAAGCTTGGTAAGAGTCTATTATAGGTAACGCCATAGACACGGAAAACCCCAGAATTCTACAGTGTGGGCCAGTGGAAATGCTATTATTTTACATCTATTGTTATCGGTTGAGTTAATTTAATTACTTTATAAAATTTTATTATTTTTATTTAATGTATACTTTGTTTAAGTCGGCTGCATCAAAAAAATCGTTCGGCCTTATCAAGGTTAATGGATAGCAAACATGGCTCACTCTTCGAAGTATACGCCTATTTTGTGCACACAGTATACAAAGCGGCATAGTGGCAGAATGGAGGTGGAACGAAAATATAGATGCCCCCAGAGTACAAGTGAGGTTTTTTATCTTCCAACTGAACACTGATCCTTTAAACTGGGAATGAGGCAAGAGACGAAATAGGAAGAATAGCCTCCACCTTTTCAATTAACTAAGTCGGTTTTGGAGTAGCTTGTGCGGAAAAGTCGTCGAGGAAACTCGAACTATACGCAAAAGTCCTGTTGTACGCGTGTTTGCTTGTGATGCTGGCGTACGACAAAGCAAAGCGTTTCTCAAGCTTATCGTCGCCCCACATATCTAGCTCCCCCAATGATTTATAGATAATTTGTGTCAATTCCCACCTGAACTATGTCTAACCATCCAGTAAACTACTTGTGCTACAGTTTATTGCCCTACTTTTGTTGCATACTGTATGCTAGATCCATACCTAAAGTGCATAAGGATCTAAAACAGTGCATACTTTGTATTACAACTTGATTGTTGGCGCATGGGATAGGTGGAACGAAAAACATAAAACCGAGGAAGTCCGAACTGTTTCATCCAGTTTTGGATATCGCGTGCAAGGAAACCACCGAAGAAAGCGGACAATCCGCGATAGAGTCGATCGACACTAAAACGAAAGAGTGACAAGTCAAGCAAAGGAAAGCGGCCTTACAGGCTAA